CTCTTTGTGGAGAGCCACAAGAGATTGAATGATTTTGAGAGAGTTTGATTAGACGTAAAGCACAAACTTTTTTTTTATTTTTGTTTGGCTCATGAATGCAGAAGACGAAATTTTGTTTTAGGGTTTTTGTTTTGGGGATTTTACAGTGGATTTGGTGGTTTTATCATATTGATGTGTGAATTACTATTTTCTGGTTTTGTTGAGCAGACATTTCCTGATGAAGTGATTGAAATGGAGAGAGCAGTACGAACACTCGATCTAACACACAATAAGATCTGTATGCTTCTGCCCTTTTTTCTTCATTTTGACGTCGTTCTTCATCATGTCTTATGTTTTGATTGTGTTTAGAGTAGTAGTTGAAGGACTTTGTTGTTTTACCATTAATGCAGCTGATGTTCCTGGAGAAATCAGCAAGTTAATCAATATGCAGCGTCTGGTGAGAACACTTTGCATCTCTGTACATTATTCCGCAGATTCATTGCTTCTCTGGAATGATCTCTCGAAACTGTTAATGATTCATGTTAATCTTAAAAATCTGCTGATTTTTTGGCAGTTAATAGCTGATAATCTAGTTGAACGACTTCCTGGGAATCTTGGGAAACTTCAATCTCTCAAAGTTTTGATGCTTGATGGAAACCGCATCAGCTGTTTGCCTGATGAATGTAAGAAGAATTCTCTTGATATAACCATAGTTGTAAAAAAAAATTGTGTTTTTCTCTCAATGGTTATATTCATTTGAGTTTTTTTACAGTGGGTCAGTTGGTAAGGCTTGAACAACTATCAATCTCAAGAAATATGCTCATATACTTGCCCGATACTATTGGTAGTCTGCGCAATGTAAGTAACTTCATTTCCCATAGCTAAACTAAAGGATCTATTTGATAAAAATATTAATTAGCTTTCTCTTGTCATATCCATTCACTTGAAAATTGCAGCTAGTGCTGTTGAATGTCTCAAATAACAGATTGAAATCCCTTCCAGAATCAGTTGGGAGCTGTGCTTCTTTAGAAGAATTACAAGCTAATGGTATGTTTCTAGTTTCGCTTTTCAAAATACATGATTTGTTTTTGTTTGGCGATTGATTCAGAAACATAAAAAATCTTTAGAACATTTTTGCTCTTGACATTCCCCTGTAGTTGTTTATTCTCCAAATCTTAATCGTGATTCGGGATAGCCTTGCAGATAACGCTGTTGAAGAGCTCCCTGCGTCACTCTGCAATCTAATTCAGTTGAAATCGCTGTGCTTAGACAATAATAAAGTGAACCAGGTATTGAGCGATGGTGATTGAAGTTTGATTTGTTTCGGTCGGTTGATTGAATCACTATCATCATCTTATGAAATCTCTCTGATATTTATGGGTTTTCCAGATCCCAGATGGATTGCTAAAAGACTGTAAGAGTCTGCAGAATCTTTCCTTGCATAACAATCCCATTTCCATGGATCAGTTTCAGATGGTAACTTATTCGAGAACCTCACCCCAAAGAACACTCTTTGGTTTTTTTTTMTTTTGTTTGTGTGTAACATACTATACTGTGTATATATAGATGGAAGGATACCAAGAATTTGAAGAGAGGAGAAAGAAGAAATTTGATAAGCAGATCGATTCAAATGTGATGATCAGCTCTAAAGGACTCGATGTAGGCGTTGATAAATGAATACCGTCTTCAACATGAGTTTGTAAGTTCGTTCATATTAGATAGATAGATATAGATTTGGTTTTAGTAATCTCTATGGATTCTTCACTGACAATAAACATGCACTTTTTGTAGGTCGGATTGGTGAAGTGAGGATCATCATTTTGTGTAAGAATTATTGTTGTAAAACTCTCTCTCTCTGTTACTGTGAGACTGAGATTCTTATGAACACATGCACATTCACGCGGCATGTACA